GAATGCAGCTTCGGATTGAGGGGCTCTTAACCTGCTACATTTTGAATTTTTTTTTTTGCTAATTGGAACATTTAAAATGTGTTAAGCAATTAAAGCGAACTAAGCAATTAAAACGTGTTAATCATTTAGCTGTGAAAATGAAAACGGTTAGCTAAATAAATGGGCGAGATTTATGGACTTAAATAACGAAACAGCTAGCGGGATTTGTGTGATAACGGACATGACTCTCAACCTATATAAAGACCAGTATATGAGAGGGTTAAACACAGTGAAAAACACAATATTTTCTCTCCTCTTCTCTGTTCTTCATCTTCGTGTTCTTGCTGTTAAATCATTGTTGGTTCCCTGAAAGTCGAGAAGAATTCACAAAGCCTTCTTGAAGCTCGTGCCGACGAGAAAGATGTCGCCTGACCGAGGGTCGTTGTATCTCCGAGAACTTTTGCCGCGTAGCCCTGTACGAGAGGGGGCAATTAGATTCTTGGGACAGTGCCTTGCATGCTTCGACCATCAGGCTGTATTTCTAACTTTCATTTATTTTCGTTTGTTTCAATTTCATTTCTGAGTTACAATAGTGATCTGATATTATCTGATTTAATAATCAACTATTTAAAATTCTTACAATAGTGATCTGATATTATCTGATTTAATAATCAACTATTTAAAATTCACGTTAATCTTTGTCTAAACAGCTAATATTCCCAACATTATCTGATTTAATAATCAACTATTTAAAATTCACGTTAATCTTTGTCTAAACAGCTAATATTCCCAACAGAAACCATGTCGGTTTTGGCGAAAAAAGTTCCCAAACTTCACGGGACTTGAAGTCCCGTGAAGCTTAACAGCCATTTAACTAAGCTGCTAAATTTTACGGGACTTCAAGTCCCGTGAAGTTTCACAGTTTAATAAACTTCACGCGATTCTACTTCTAAAATTATGCAACTAGCCCCTCAACTAGAGGGTACACTAGCACATGCATCGGTCTCAACCCTCTTCACACGTGTGAGGAACTCCACGTAACCCACCTCCGCGTTGAACTTCAACCCGCACATCTTAACCGTTTTCTGCAAGGAGGAAAATAAATTCAAACAAACTTCACGGGACTTCAAGGCCCGTGAAGTTTGTTTGAACTACGAAACTTCACGGGACTTGAAGTCCCGTGACGTTTAGCAGCTTGGTTAAATACCTGCTAAACTTCATATCTGCTAAACTTCACGGGACTTCAAGTCTCGTGAAATTTCATAAGTTTTTTCTTCAAAACCGACTCAGTTTTAGTCTGACGGTTGAAACTGTGTCGGTTTTGAAGAATATTTTAAAACTAGGTCGTTTTTTAGAATTATTTTTACAAATAGGACGGTTTTAAAAATTTATCCCACAAAAAATTCATTCCAGAGATGAACGACAGATATTGCCAATTATTTCAACGATGAATTTCTAGTGATCTAACATAGCATTTCCTATCGTGCTGATATACATTGACTAGTTCTCCTGACATTAATGCATGTCAATAGCTTGAATATTCGCATTAAAAGTGTGAATTCTATGTTGACCTTCCAAATAGTTTAATATATTTTCTTATTCTCAATGGTGACTTTGTTGATGTAAATTTCTTAACGGTGACTTGAAAGTTTACATTTAATTTAGGTAGCATCAAAACTTTTATATATCATATCTAAAGCTGAAATGAATCAAATACTAAGATATTTATATTTATATTTGTTTAAAGTTTTGAATTCAAATCTTACATTTAATCTAGATAGCATCAAAGCTTCTATATGTCACAATATATCACATCTATGACTGTAAACAAATTCGAATATTGGTCTATGCTTTTCTTGGAATTCGGATTCGGATACCATTATTTGTCAAATATTCACAAATATTCGTCAAATATTAAAGAATACTTGTTTGATTAATAATCTCTACTTTGTGAATGTTAAACAATTTAATTAAGTAGGCAATTTTATTTGGTTAGATAAGTATTTTCATTATTCTAAAAATTTAATATTTTAGATAATATTTAAATTCATAACTGAAAATTATTCTTTAATAGCTATAATATATAAATATGTAATGTGCTTATTTAGCTAAGAAATGGATTTTGGAACTTGTTATGCCTCTCGAAACTAGTATACAACTAAAGTTAAAAATGGAAATAACATAACATCAAGTGCGTAATAATAGTTACACGTAAACAAATTCGTAAGGAATAGTTTATATAAAACAAACAAGTATAATATACATAGGGTTAAATTCTATTCATTTATGAGGTGAACACCAAAAACTATTCATTTATTGTTAAATGAACTGTCAAATCAAATATGACTAGATACTTAAGCGAATAAATAGCTAAAATACTTAAGCGAATAAACGCCTAACAATTTTACATATTTGGTTCATTTTCTCCCCTATTTTGAGCATGTCATAGGAAAAAAATAAAAGCATATCACACATATTATTTCAAAATAAGAAATTAGCATTAAGCATATGATGTTAAAATTATATAAAAATGATGTCAAATGAAATGTTCATTTGTTCATTAGAGAATTTTAAGAGAACAAAACCACACAATTAATTTGTAAAAATAAATTCACGAAGCATAAAGTATTGTTAAAAAAATAAAAAAAGGAACAATTTTTTTCTTTTTGGATAAATTAACACTAGTGTGCACCTCGTGTAAAGCATGACCCTCTTGTTGGCCTTCTTGTTTTGATGATGTTTAACAAATAATTTACCACTAATGTTGTTTGTCTAGTATTTGTGTTTTTCTTATTTATTATAGACAAACAACGTAGTTGGAGGATGGATGGAATAGAGCTTCAACGATCATATCCAAAGGAGGTTGGCGGAATATCGGTGAAGCCTTGCAATTCAAAGTTAAAGATCAAGTTCAAGCTTCATCCGCGAGATTACCAAGTCAAGCTACAATGAAGATCAAGATCAAGCTTGGGTAAATTAGTTTTAGGAATATCAAATTTCACATGTTTACATTTTCGTGTTTTGAACTATTTTGCAAAATGATGATTTTTCACAAATGGGAAATGCAATTTGGAAAATTCTTTTTGTAACATGTTCATTTACATGTTTATATACATTTTCCAAAGTTTTATTATTTCTGGACTTCATTTGTTATTTTTAACAATTTTCCAAAGTCTCAAAAATCAGCTCTAAAACCAGTTTTTTTCTGTAGTATCAGATTTCGGTCGACCGCACCGGTCGACCGCTCATATGTTCAGTCGACAGTGGGCAGCAGAGAGTTTGTCGGTCGACCGGTGCGGTCGACCGAAAGCTTGATTTTTTTATCGGTCGACCGCACCGGTCGACCGAATAAGTCTCTGTGTGTTTTCTCCGTTTGGAACCTAGATCGCGGTCGACCGCGGGAATTTCCGGTCGACCGCTAATGTGACCGTTGGTTCCCTAACGGCTATTTTCTGAGATAATTTTTTCTGGGACTTTTTGGACTTTTACTTAGGGGTTTTGGCTGAGATTTTGAATGGGTATAAATACCATATTGCTGTTCTCTTTTAACACAGCTAAGAAGTTTTTAAACAATGGTTTTAAAAAGAGTTTAAGCTTGTTTTAAGCTTGTTTAAGGGTTTGGCTTAAAGCTGTTTTAGTTTTCTCAAGTGGAGGAGATTATCTTCTTGTTTGGGCCTCAAATCTCCATCTCTTCATCTTGATCTATTGAGAAGTTTTCTAAACTCTACTCTAGCTTTTATTTATTAATTATTTGTTAATTATCATTTCTATTAAAGCTAGTTTTATATTGAGTTTAGATTTGATTTTATCTTATTGTTACATACAACCATTTGAGCTTATTGTATTTGCATACATAGTATATTAGGGTTGTGAGAGTTTGTAACATTGAGTTGTGCTTAATTGAGTTCTCACCTTATTAGAGAGAACAATCATTTGTTATATTGTGCTTATCGTAAGAATCACTTTGTAATACACTTGTACACCGAGTGAGGAGTGTGTGGTGAGAGTCGGGGATCGTTCCAAGAGGAGTGGCGTCGGTTGACGAATCTAGGGAGAGGTTGTAACCGAGCACTTGAGGGAGACATGGCTAGGTCCAACACTTGTGTGGGTGTAGAGTGTGATTGCATAGTATTTGTTGTGTGAGAGTTTTCGGTGAACTTGTAAACCGAGTGTGTAGAAGTTCCGGCTTCCAAACCGGATTGTGATAGTGGATTTCTCCCCGGAAGAGAGGAGCGGAGACGTAAGACGGAAGGTCCGAACTCCGTGATCATATTGCTTGTTTGAGTTTGTCTTTGGCGTATTTGTTTTTGCATTCATCTTATATATATATATATATATATATTATCATATAGGATATATCTCATTATTCATATTGCTTATCCTTGCTTATATAGTTGTTGTATTTCATACTTGCTAGGATAACTCATTAATTAATTTTAATTGACATATAATCGGATTAGGTTAGCATAAGACCCTAATCACCCCCCTCTAGGGTCTAACACCTCTATTTTTTAAGCACTGCATTTTCAACTTGTCTCTCTATAAGTTTTAATACATTGATTTAATTATTGTATGCTTAAAATTAAAAATCATATATACTCCTCTATACTTAAAGAAGAATCCAAGTTTTAATACATTTGATTTAGAAATCATTTACTCCTCTATACTTAAAAAATAATTAAGTTTTAATACATTTGATTTGCTCTACGTTTCCGTAGCATAAACAGTAATTTCAAGCATGGAGCAGCATGTTTGATTTACTGTTTATACTACAGTAAATTACTATAGCGAAGACGATAACTTTAAGAAAGGGGAGGATGGGTTTCAGATTTTCACTCACTGATACAATATTTACTGTAATGTAAATAGTAAATTTTTGGATTCTTCTTTTTTACTGTAGAGGAGTAATATTAAATGTTCCCCCTTGATGGCCCGCTATCCCGCCGTATCCCATGCGTTGACCATAAGGCCCGGCCCGTTAGGCCCAATCGCGTCGTTTTCCGTCGAGCTATTAGCGGTGAACACGAGATTTTTATTTTTTTGGTTCGCGCAGCAATCGCGTCGTTCGTCCCGACCTCTGCAGCAACGTTAACCCTTTTTTTTTGGGTACGTGTTCATCCGTTGCCATCAAGTTTGGAGCTCTAACATCACAGATTCTTCAGCGGCGCCTTCGCATTTGCAGCATCACGCCGCGCTCGTGACTAATTGATCGATCGATCTCACCAGCACAAGGGTAACAAGGAGAAGGGGGAAGAGAAAGCATAAAGGAAGGAAGGAAGGAAGGGAGGGATAAAATTAATTCCCTATTTTTTTTTTCTCGATGGGCAATTCAAGCTGAGATAATCGCATCCAAGAGAGGTCAGCCCTCTTCTCTTCTCTTCTCTTCTCTGCTACTCTCTCGTTGTTGTTGGTATTCCTTTAATCCTGTACCGTACATCACAAGCTTTTCGAATGGGGTTTGGGATCTTTGAGGTGTGCTTGGTGGAGCAGTAATTAGGATGGGAACCACTGTAGGGGAGGCTTAACAATTTGAAGTCACCGCGGCCTTGCGCAGAGGAATAAGCTTTAGAATCGAAAGGATCTAGAACTAGTGAGATGGAAGAGGTAAGGGAAAAAAAAAGGGAATGTGTGGTTTGATTTAGCGAAGTCATGGAAGAAGTAAGCGAAATATGTTTGAAAAAACTTAGGATCAATCATGATGGTGAGATCTGATATGGTTTGTAAGATCAAAGTTGTTGTGCGCGGCGCGGAAGCGGTCGAATCACACAATTCAAACAAGAAAGATCACAACCAAATAAACGAATACAATCACCAAATAACACAAGAGATTTACGTGGTTCGGCAAGTTGCCTACGTCCACGGGGCAAGAAGGGGATGAGGTTTTCATTAATAGAGAAAGAGTACAAACTGAGACTTCAAATCACTCGAAGGAATAAACTAATCTCACCAACAAACTTTTAATCTCTTCAAACAAAACCCTAAACAAATAGCTCAGAAAATACATCTTTTCTATGCTCCAAATATCCCTAATTTGCTTCTCTATTCTCTCTTCCAATTGTTTCATATATATAGAAGTCCTAAAATCATAAACATACTAGGAATTCTAAACCAAAAACCAAAACAAATTAGGAATCCTAATAACCTATTACCAAAATATATTAGGAATCCTAATAACCTCATGTTACCAAAATAGATTAGGAATCCTAATAACCTCATATTACCAAAATAGATTAGGAATTCGCTATCCGATAATTCCTTACTTCGGCGAAGTTTTCCCAAAACTGAGCCGACACCAATACCAACCAAACGTCTCACTTGTTGCGTCCAGTACGAAGTGGAACAAATCCACGATAACGGACTCAATCCACAACAAGTCGAGAACCCAAACGAGAATGCGAACAAACTCCAAATATCGGTATCAACTCACCAAATTGGTTGCATCATAAATGATTGCCTACGTATCCTTTTGCCCAAGGAATCAAGCCTTCACGTAGTTCACCCAAACGACCTCCAAAGGCCTTAATCCACTAGAAGAGTTCGCAACCCTTCTCCAACATCACGATCAAGTCTACGGCTGATAGCACCTCCAATGATCCTAAACTGAAATAATCCCAACATCTCCACCTGAGATGAACCAATGGTCATATCCAGACTACATCTATCAGCTGTACTCGAATCAATCAACCTATCATCTGCATCTAAATCAACATGATTCCCAATCTGTGTCACATCAGCTGGAATCCCAAATGATACAGTATGGTCTGGAGTTTTCACCTAACGTGGAGTAGCATCACTCTCCACCAGCTGTGATGTCCCAAAAATCTGATCACCACTCTCCACCTGCCGAGAGTCAAACGTGACATACCTGCTCAGAACAAAGTCAGAAGCCAATACCTGATAATCAAACACGCATCTGAATCCCAAATATGCTATCAGATCAAATCTCACATCCACGATGTGATCAAGTACTGGGTAGCCAAACATCCGACGCAACCAAAAATCTAAAGCAGCTCCATCAGATCCCATATCTCTACATGCAGCAGTCGACAACCTATACATGAGACGGCCCAAACATGTCGTAGCCCTCACACCAATGCTAATGTTCGACATCAAATGCCTATCCTCCTCCAGAAAGGAACAGCTCCCCAAATCTGTCATCTCATCACGTTGTCTCAATGTTTACACAACAATGAAGTGTTTCCTATTGCCGTGAGCTTGGCACAATCGCAAGAAAGAACCCCTATCATAATCAGAATGTCGGGTTACCTTTCTACCAACACACTTCCTCCATCTGTTGCGGACTTCTAAGACTTCATACCAACAGGACTTGGTTACAACCCATCAATGCCTAGAGCAATCCCCAACTACGGAAACCGCATACCTATTGCCTCCCATGATGCTCTTTTGGAAGGCCCCCGAATGCCTGAATGAACACCCTTCAGAAGACCCCTCGAATGATGGATAGAAGTGTCAAACTCCACATTGGTCTTCTTGCTCATACCAATGGGTTCACAGGACTTCAAACTGCAGGTCAAAGCACTCCTCAACAACCTATACACGGTATTAGCAATCAAATAACCCAGCATCAAACAACGTCATAATATAGCCGAATCTGATGAAGTCGTCAGCTCCCTATCAATCACCATGTATCCGAGCAAATAATACAATTTGCTCCTTCTGACGTCCTTCATCACAATCATGGACCCCAATGTGACCTTCAAGCGTGCGTCCACTAAGGTCACCCTATAACCTGCTGCCTCCAAAGCTCTAAGTGAAATGATGTTCATCTTCAATTGCGGAACAAACCTCACATCATCCAACTCTCGCATCATCCCATCACTCATCCTAATTCGAATAGTACCAATACCACCAATAGAGCATGCATGTTCATTACCCATGAGCACGACATCCTCTCTTTTTAATTTCTGAAAGTTGGAGAACCAATCACTCCTAGGGCAAACGTGATAAGAAGCACCCGAATCCAACATCCACTCCGTAGAGTCGGCATCACAAACTGATGGTACGTAGTATGGATAACGAATAGCCTGAAGAATCCGAATCTGAATTGTTACCACCAGTCTTGATAACATTCACCTCTGAAGCTTGTACAGGTTTCCCCATATTCTTCTCAGCTCGATCTAACTTTGGACATTCAGCTTTCCAATGTCCATCCTCTTTACAAAAAGCACACTGATTCTTACGAATTCCACGATGTGTACCTCTAGACTGCGACCTCCTGCTTCGGTTTGAACCACGGCCTTGAACTACTAATGCATCTCCCGATACCTTCTCGGAGGACTCATCAACACTCTTTGAACTACTAATGCATCTCCCGATACCTTCTCGGAGGACTCATCAACACTCTTCCTCAACTCATAATTCACCAACGCTGAGGTCACCTTCCGATACCTTCTCGGAGGACTCATCAACACTCTTCCTCAACTCATAATTCACCAACGCTGAGGTCACCTTCTTATAGCTAACAGTAGTTCTTCCATTAATCATAGTGAGAACAAATGTACCATAATCATCCTCGGGCAACGAACATAAAAGTAGCATCGTCTTGTCTTCATCCTCAACCATAATATCCACATTAGCCATATCTGAAAGTAGCTTCGTGAAGTTGTTAACATGCTCGCTAATGGAAACTCCCCTCTTCATCTTGAACTGATAAAACCTCTTTGTTTTCTTCAAAAGTTGATTTTGTTATGGAATTCATTATATCTTCGGTCGATTACAACAAATTCGAAAGAGATAGTCTTTTTATAAGACTTCTTTTACACAACAAAATAAAAATTACAACTCTTGAGAAAATAACACAAAAATCGTCTATCGATTCTTGTTTTGTGGGACTTTGCCTGTGCCGGGAGCGCTTTGACTCGTGGACCACCAAATCACAGATCGTGAGGGGTTTAGTGATTCTTCCTTCGTTTATCGAAGTGAGAATTTGAAACGAAGATCTTATCAAAGTAAGACGATCGTTCTTCTTAAGATCAAGTCAAAGCTCGAATCTCAAGGAATCACACCAAGAACTTGAATTTCACTGTTCTCTCTGCTCTCTCTGCTCGATAAATGCTCGATCCTCGTCAGTAGTGACCCTAGGGGGGTATTTATAGCCTCTGAGACACGTAACTGAAAAAACACAACAAACGACCAAATTAATACGGCGAGACAGTGTTTACTGTCTCGGCGGAGACACTAAATACTGTCTCGGAAAATCCAACCGCCAGGCAGTTTTTGCTGTAACTGCCTTCCCACGTTTCAAACTCCGTTATTTTGGCAGTTATTCACGTGATTTTCGCCCACGATATTTTCCACGTCTCTTGGTAGTTAATGGACACGTGTGTGACAGTTATTTAGGTGATTTCTGACCGTTTCAAAGCTGTCTCGCTGGTGAGACAGTAAACACTGTCTCGCTGGCAAGACAGTCTATACTTGTCTTACTTTTTCTAAGACAGTATGAGGTTCATTCTTGTGACTTTGGGTGATCTTCTCTATGATTGGATATCTATCAGCATTTTTTGACGCCTACACTCTTCTTCAAGTGAAGCCGATTCTCAATGCTCTTAGTAAGATATTTTTCATTGAGTGTTTCCCACATCTTCTTCGCCGACGTCTTGTTCAACACATCATAAATAAGATCCGGCGTCAAGCATGACCGAATAACTCCACACGCCCTACTATTCATCTTCTTCTAAACATTTTCTTTCATATCAGTAGGTTTTTCTTGCAACTCAAGAGTCTCTTCCAAGTTTTGAGCGTCTAACGCATCCATCACTTGGCATCTCCACAAACCGAAATTGATCTTGCCATCAAACTTCGGAACATCGATCTTCATGTTGTTGATGCTTAAACTATGTATTGTCTTCATAAGAGACGATCTCGTTGTGCTTGCTTCACCCATGTTGTCGATCTAACTCTTCAAATATGAATCCTTTCAGAGAATCCTTCAATCAAGCCTCAAGCCAAACCCGAAGCTCTGATACCAATTGTTGTGCGCGGAGCGGAAGCGATCGAATCACATAATCCAAACAAGAGAGATCACAACCAAATAAACAAGCACAATCACCAAATAACACAAGAGATTTACGTGGTTCGGCAAGTTGCCTACGTCCACGGGGCAAGAAGGGGATGTGGTTTTTACTAATAGAGAAAGAGTACAAACTGAGACTACAAATCATTCGAAAGAACAAACTAATCTCATCAACAAGCTCTTAATCTCTCCAAACAAAACCCTAAACAAATAGCTCAGAAAATACCTCTTTTCTGTGCTCCAAATATCCCCAATTTGCTTCTCTATTCTCTCTTCCAATTGTTCCATATATATAGAAATCCTAAAATCATAAACATACTAGCAATTCTAAACCCAAAGCCAAAACAAATTAGGAATCCTAATAACCTATTACCAAAATAGATTAGAAATTCTAATAACCTCATGTTACCAAAATAGATTAGGAATCCGCTATCCAACAAAAGTGAGGGGGTCAAAGTAGGAGTAGCGTGGATCTTCTCATATCCACGGGCTGAAATTAAAGGGAAGTTGTATAAGATATTAGATACCTATAAGTAAGACTAGTATGGGTTTATGGAGCAACGTTGTGCGATGAAGAAACACCACAAGATATTAGATAAAGTGAATCCATGTTTTCCTTGTTATTGAACCATGAAGAAATGTAGGAGTATCCGTGATTACTTTTAAGTATCGTTGGTCTTACAGTTGTCCTGTGGACTTTTCCCATAAATTTCATAGATATCCTACAGTTGCATAAGACTCTAGAGGCACTCATACATTTTAACCATCATGATTTGATTCGATCCTAAATAGCAAAACTGATCACGTTCATGCATTTCTTGACCATAGATATGTACAATACACTCGTTCTTTTTCATAACTTTACTAAAATTATATATATTTTTTGTTTGGGATTTGGTTAGATTGTGTCGGGTGCCTTGAGTTGCTTTGGTTTCAGTAGCGGAAGTTGCTTTGCTGCCACCGGAATACATATATTCCGGTTTGCTATTTGTTCTTAAACTTTTGGTTTTGGAGTTCTGTCTACTTTTATATTTCAGATATTATCTCCGTCATACATCTCTTTAATCAAATCAATAGCAACCATTAGATACTTGTATTTTTGCTAAAATCCACTATATTATCTCGTTTATATTGCACACGTGAGCATGTAGACTTGATTGGTTTCAGAAGGATTTGGAGACAAATTCATCCCTTTCAAATTCAACATTTGCCAATTCATGTGAAACATTTACTCTGTTAAAGTTGACACGTATATCACCTAAAGCGCTTGAAAACCAAAAATGAAGTTAAACGCTTCTTTACATATCTATAACACAGTGTGGAATGGAAGCAAGTTGACTCTTTAGCGTGTAGACATTTGAGATGCAGAAAATGTTTATAGGATTCTTTTAAGTTGTTAGATCAAAAGTAAATATTCAAATTGGAATTATCTATAATTTAACATGTAGCTCTAAGCAATACATTGTTTTCGACTGTCCATGCTTGCTGGCTTGGTGCATGGACATAAATTTAAGATAATATATTTTTGGTTTACAAGTATTCTAAATGATCTAGTTTAACTTCAACTGAGTGCATAAAAACATAGATGCCTGAAGTTCCTAATAAGGATTTTCAATGGACGGAATTGAGCTGTGCTTTGTGCTTGATAAATAAAATTTTAAGTTCCTAACATGGTGATCAGGTGTTCAATTATTCATGGAAAGATGCTGAACTAATAGCTTACCTTGGTTTCACTGATTTCACCCTTCAGATTCATCGAGGCCATGCCAATGTCAATTGTGTCAGGGGAGAGCATAGTGGCACCTCTGAGCAGTGACCTCTTGTATGACATACTACAACGTCTGGATGGTGCAACGCTGGCAAGAGCTGCATGTGCCTGTGCTGACTTCAGTTCCATATCGAAAGAAGAAGCATTGTGGGAAAATGTATGTAGATCTCTATGGCCTTCAACAAACAGAGAAGATGTCAGAAGTTTAATTTCTTCCATAGGTGGATTCAGAAAGTTCTATGCCGATTGCTTTCCCCTTATCGTGAACAAAGATGTCCCCCCAGTGCGGGCAAATGCAGACCTACCATATCCTGAAGATTGGATTGACGATTACTACTATGAGGATTTCCATGAATCAGAGGACCTCTCTCCATCTGACTTTGTTTCCATTGTGGACGTCAAGTACAGAGATAAACCAGTTTATTCTAAGGTCATATGGGGAATCCCCAACTCAGGAAGCTTCAACGGTTGGTTTTACAACTGTCCATTTCGAATTGATCTGCTGACTCATTCCAGTGGTGATGTCAGTGGTGGTGATCAGGTCTTTCTGTCTATTTCTGATGGGTTGCCTTCCATTGAATCGATAGAGAGGGAAAGAAAAGATGGGAGGCTATGGAGAGAGCTGCAAGATGGAGTCAGGCTGAGTTGGATCATTGTGAACAAGAGATTGAGACAAGCCGCAAATGTTGCCAGCTGGAGTCCGCTGAGCGGGCAGAGGCACTGGCCCACTGACAGGGATTTCTTGCTGCGATTTGGCTCGATTCTTCCTGCGAAGAGCATCCTTCCTTGCCAGGTGGCGGAATGCATACTCGTTTTGAAATTTAGAGTGAATGACGTTGGAAACGGGGTACCAACACTGAAGTTGAGGGAGTTGAGCATGCAGTTGGAAGATGTGAGAGGAGCTCATGTGAATGGATGGAACAGTCTGCTTGTTCTCAAGGAAGCTCTCAGCTGCCAGAGGAGTAAAAATCACAGTGAGGTTTTGGCGTCTTGTCACTTGTACCTCAAAGCTCAGACTGAACTTAGGGAAGAGATGATGAGGAACGAGACCTGGTTCGATAGGCTGTGTATTTTCACTAGCATTGCTGCATTTGCCACCATCTGCTACAGTGTTCTGTGAAACTCCTAGTCTCTCCCCTGCATTTTTGCTAGTTATGCTTTTTGGTGTGTATCGAGACATTTCATGGCATAACAGCGGTTATTGTACCGTTTCTAAGAAGTAGAAATATGTGATTCTTTGTGTTGCATGATGTTTGTTTCCGCAAATAGTTTCTGCGGCTAATCTGTTAAAATCATTTTCATCTATAATGCCAGTAGAGATCCTATCAGAATCACTTTTGTAGGAATAGAGCGATTTACACTTATGATTGCATAGTCACAATTCTCAATCCAACTCCTTAGTGACCCGTGAAGGGTATAGAATATCCCATTATGTAAGGGTGTTTTGGTAGAATTCCTACTCCATCCCATTCTTAGAAGGAAAATGGGAGAATTCTATGCCTCATGCTCGGGTTTCAATAAGTGTAATTCTTTTCTTTCTTTCTTTCTTTTAGCCCTTTTGTGTCCCAAATATTCTACCATTGATACGATAGGATATCGATGATCCACGTCACCACAAAACGTGTACATTCTAAAAGATTTTGTGAAATACACAGTGAAACTTCATGCCTCTTATAATAATATCACTGTCAAAAAACCAATTATAAGCATGGTTATGTGTATCTATCATTAGCGTAGTGTCTACTATAAGCGACTTGTCTGCAATAGCCAAGAGGCATACTAGTATAAATTTTTGTCAAATTGCAAGCGTTTGGTGATCGCCAGCTGCTCGTCACAAACTTCCCTCTCTTTTTCACAGGCCCAAAGTAATAGCAATATATAGAATAAAATGTATGCCGTACGTGCATTTCTTTTCTTTTCTTTTTCACTTTTGTCTGACTTTGTTAATAAATATAATACAGATAAGACAAGGTCAAGTCATTTTCATGATTGCCATAGAAAATAGACTAATCTCATTAATATTTATTATCATTATTGCTATTAATAATTAGTGATATGCGATTATATCATTATTCTATGTTTTGATAGATGCAGCAAAACATATCTCGTTCCGGTTGCTTCTTTCCATAATTTCTGCTATTGCTAGCCACTTGGTCCATAGACATGTGGCATCTAGTCCTCTCTACTCAAGTAGAATAAAAAAAATTATTGTAAACAATGAACCAAATCCGGCCTTCTGCTCTCAAAATTACTATTCACAGTATAATAATTTACTTTAACATAAACAGTTAATCAGATCTGCTCATCCATACTTAAAGTTACTACTCATGTTATAGTGTTTATTGTATCATAAACAATAAAGCAAATCAAATGTATTAAAACTTGGATCCTTTTTTAAGTATAGAGAGGTATATATGATTTCTAAATTAAATGTATTAAAACTTGGATCATTCTTTAAGTACAAATGAGTATATATGATTTCGAAATTTAAGCATACAATATTAAATCAAATTATTAAAATTTAGAGGAAGACAAGTTTAAAATACAGTTCTTAAAAAATAGAAGCTTAAAAAATAGAAGGTCATGCAAAATACACACTAGTATAAAATAATACGAGTACAGCCTACCAAACTCTATAAATAATTAATTTAATTTGACTTTACCTTTGTGATTATCAAATAAGCCTCTACTATTACTTGTTTGTCTATAATTACTCCGCTTTGCCTCAACTATTACTTGTTTGACTATAATTGCTCCGGTTTGCCAATCCTCAATAGAATAAAATAAATAAAACGTGCCAAAAAAAAAGCAAAAAAAAAAACCCAAAGAAATACAAAGCAATCTCCGCTTCTCTCGTCTTTGAAAGTAACAACGTTGCCCTTCATGTTTCTTGACGCAATCCACGTCGTCCCTGTATATTCCAACCTCTTATTTGTGAATATCAGGTATTTTATGACATTCATATGCATTCTAGACATGCATACTGCATAGTGATGCATATATTGTAAATGAAGTACGGGTTGAAGATTGATATATTTGTTTATGAACGAATGACTAATTACATTACCTGATATTTTATTTTGCTTATTATCATAAACATCAGATAATGTATGTTGACAATTCTATCCCCTGTATATTTCTATATTTCTTTGTTTTTCTTTTAATACCATATATATTTGATTTATTTTTAATACCTTATGTTTTGACTTAATTATTCTCGTAGGATAACCCCTTCTGAGAGAATGCTCCGTATATAATTTCAGTTTTTCAATTCTACTTCAAGCATTGTAATCAAGTCTTTATGTTTTTACTATATCAAGATGCGTGCAGTCCTTAGATGAGACAGTTTAGCACAAAGTTAAAAGTATTATGGCGAAATTATGTTAAGGCCCCAAAAGTAATAATTTCATGTGGCCTGACCCCTCTATTCTTTTTCCATTGTGTTTCAGCCCAAAAAATATCACATCATGTGATTCAGTCATACACTCTATGGCAACTAAGCACAAAGAGAGAGAAACAAACATAAAAGTTAAAAATACCCGCATTTTCTCTTCTCTCTTCATTCTCTCCAGATCTAAGTTTGATCATCCTTCCTCTTCTCCTCTCCTCCTCTCTCCTAACTCATTTCCTTCCTTCTCTCTCTCTCTTCTTCCTTTTCTATTAGACACCGACATCGCCCTCCGCCACCGCCGACCTTGTGTGCACGCTCCGGCCTATTGTTCGCTCCTTGTCTCCTACTAATTTCCCCCGATCTCTCTTTCTTTCCCCTCAAAACTAAAAAAGCCTTAATTTGGTGCCGGAGGAGGATGAGGAGGAGCTCGAGACCGTCGTAAGTTCCACAAAAACTCATTTTAAGTCTAATTTAATTTATTTTAAGTCCAATTTATGTTAAGTCTAATTCAACTTATTTTAAGTCTAAAAGCAAGTTAAATTAGAGTTAACATGAATCTTGTTAAGTCTAATTCAACTTGTTTTAAATCTAAAAATAAGTTAAATTATACTTAACATGAATTATGTTAAGTCTAATTCAAAATTTATTTTAAGTCTAAATTCTAGTTAAGTCCAATTTGATTTATGTCGTGTTAAGTCCAATTTGATTTATGTCGTGTTAAGTCCAATTTGATTTATGATAAGTCTAATTTAATTTCTTATAAGTCTAATTTAAATCATGTTAAGTCTAATTCAACTTGTTTTAAGTCTAAAAATATGTTAAATTAGACTTAACATGAATCTTGTTAAGTCTAATTCAACTTATTTTATGTCTTATTTCTAGTTAAGTCCAGTTTGGTTCGTATTAAGTCTAGTTTGGTTTGTGTTAAGTCTAATTTAATTCATTTTAAGTCCAATTTAAATCATATTAAGTCTAATTCAACTTGTTATAAGTCTAAAAATAAGTTAAATTAGACTTAACATGAATCATGTTAAGTTTAATTCAACTTATTTTAAGTCCAATTTCTAGTTAAGTCTAATTTGATTCATGTTAAGTCCAATTTGATTCATGTCGTGTTTAATTAATTTGATTTATATTAACTCTAATTTAATTCCTTTTAAGTCTAATTTAAAAAAAACGATAGCTTGGCTGTTTTATGAAATTTGTAATTTCTATTTGAACATTGTGGAAAATTGAAAGATTTAAAGATATACCCGCTAAATATGATTTTTTTTTGATAAATTTTTATGTTAAGTTCAAGTCTAAGGTAGAATATTAAGTCTAATGAGTTAGAAGCAAAGTCCAATGACTTGTATGTTAAGTCTATTTGGTTGAATAATAAGTCTAATAACTTATGGTACCGTTTGGCAAAGGGTTAAGTGAGGGGTTAAGGAGACTTTAACCTCTTCTTAACCTGCCAAACACAAAAAATCTATACAATGGTTAAAGTGAGTTAACCCTTCATAATTTTTAAACATAAAAAATATAAAAGGGTTAACTCATCTAGAGGGATTAAAATGAGTTAACCCCTCAAAATAAAGGGTTTACTAATACTCTTATTTAGAATGATTAAGAGCTAACCCTTCTAATTATAAAGAAAATAGTTAAAATCATTGTTATTCTCAAACACTAAAACTGATCACAAGGACTAAAATAAAACTAATTTAATGGGTTAATAATTTAGTTCTTCAGATTATCGAATGGGTTAAGTACATTAATACTTCTTTTTAACCCATCTTCCTTAACCCTTTGCCAAACGGGGCCTATATGTTAAGTCTATTTGGTTAAATAATAAATCTAATTTGTTGAATATTAGATGTAATGAATTATGTGTTAAGTCCATTTTAGTTTGTGTCAAGTCCAGCTGATTCGTGTTAAGTCTAGTTTGGTTTGTGTTAAGTCTAGTTTAGTTCATGTTAAGTCCAGTTTGATTTGTGTTTAGTCTAGTTTGGTTCGTGTTAAGTCCAGTTTGGTTCGTGTTAAGTCCAAACTTCCAGTTTGGTTCGTGTTAAGTCTAATTTAATTCATTTTAAGTCTAATTTAATTCATTTTAAGTCCAATTTAAATCATGTTAAGTCTAATTCAACTTGTTTTAAGTCTAAAAATAAGTTAAATTAGACTTAACACGATTCATGTTAAGTCTAATTCAACTTATTTTAAGCCTATACTTTCTAGTTAAGTCTAATTTAATTCATGTTAAGTCCAATTTGATTCATGTTTTTAGACTTAAATAATTTGAATTAGACTTAACATGATTTAAGTTGGACTTAAAATAAATTAAATTAGACTTAAAATGAATTAAATTAGACTTAACATGAACCAAACTAAGCTTAACAGGAATCAAACTGGACTTAACACGAACCAAACTAGACTTAGGGTCTGTTTAGTACATTTTCGAAAAAAAGAATAAATGGAAAACAGTGTTTGAAAACCCATTTCAGGGCATTTCAAAAGGTTTCCCATATTTCTTTTATTTCGTTTGTTTCACATTGAAATCAAAGAAATGGAAAACCCAACCGTCGTTTCAATAGTGATTTCAGCATTTAAATATTACCTTTTAATCCTACATTTTCATTTCTTAGGTTTGTTTGAACAAAAAAACAAAACTCAGCCGTCGTTTCAATAGTGATTTCAGCATTTAAATATTACCTTTTAATTTTCAGCCGCCGTTTCAACAGTGTTTTAGGCAATTAAATAATGCCTGATGTGACATTTCCACCCTTATTTCAGAGGATTTTGGTCTGAAATGGGTTTTCTTCAAAATCTGATGTGGCATCCTACGTGGCACCCTCATTTCTTTAAATCACACAACAAAAT